TATTTTTGCTTAAGTCAAATTATTATGGCTCAAGCAAAACTGACTTGTCTTAAGTTAAAAACAATGACTTAAGTGAATATTAATAAAATTTGTATATTTATCATTGTATAAACTTAAGGAAATATGATATAACTTAAGCGAAAATTATAGAGGATGATTTTCCTACGTTGTTTTTTTATCATTCAATCACATCTATTTAGTTATTATCCCTATTTTAATTTAACCAAGTTGTTCATTTCTAAGAAAATTGAGATACAATATTTGATGTTTACAAATTTAATTAGTTCCACTTGCATACATCACAATTTAAAGTATGACAATGCAAAGAAGTTATTAGATTTGAAAAACATATTTGCATGCTATTTAGAATGAGAAAATAAGAAAAATTGAAATAGAATAAAGGAGAAATTGAACAAAGGATTACTTGATTTTTTTTTTTTTATATCTTGTGTTAGATATTTCTTTCAAACTTTTATTGCTTGAATTTTAATCATAGTTATTAAATCTATCAAAAATTGTTAGAAACAAAAATAAAATATTTGAAATAGCTTCAACAATAAAGATGAAAAAGAAAATTTACCTTAGTAACCGTTATAATTATATTTTTAAAAAATATTTATTTTTTTAAAAATACTTTTAAGAATTAAATTATAAATGTTATAACTTTTAAAATATGTTATAACATTTCATTTTATTAACTTATTTATGAGTCATATAATACATTAACTATCATCATAAATAAAAGTGTTTTAATTAAAAAGTAAAATATCCAATAGATTATTTTCTTTTACAATTTGTCATGTTTACATTTTAAGATTAAAATTAAGTGAAAATCATATTTAAATTACTCTTTTTTATTACAATAATTTTATATTTAACATACTTATTTTTTTAGTAATTTCATTTTAAATTTTAAAAATTATAGATATAACTTCATTTTTTTCTTATCTTATATAAAAATTTATATTTATAAAAATTTTCTTATTACCTTACATAAAATTTTAAAAATTTTGTAAAATATTATGTATCCTATGATGTTTTATATTTATGAAATATTATTCTTTAATTATTAAATTATATGTATATTTATTTTAAAATAAAATACTGAGACTAGTTCAAATAAAAATCAAATTAAATTGAAAAAGAATGAATGCATGAAAAACAAATATTTTGTTAAGAGAATGACATTTATCTTCTTAGATATATTAAATATAAATCATTATTAAATGAAATTACTTTTATAAATTATCTTAAAAGAAAGTGTCTCATAAAATAATTTTCATTTTAATCACATGATATAACTACACAACCATTTAACATTTTATTTTTTAAGTTAGTACTAATTTAAATTTGAATGTAATAAAACATAAAAATATTTATTCATTTTAAAATTCATTAAATTTAAAAATATTTATGCGATATACTTTACACCAAAAATTCATTATTTTTTGGTAATCTCTATTCTTCAAAAAGATTAATCTCTTATTATAATTTTAGTCTAATCGCAAACAAAAAATGATCTTGCTCGAGCTGTGAATATTTACAATATAATGGGATTAATTATATTTAGTGAGATTTTGTTTTCATATACAAGATTTAAATCATGCTAGCTTAAAGAAAATCAAGCACGAACAAACTAGTATCGACCAATTAATCTTCTATTGTTGATTAAGATATATCCCTATTATATAAAAAGAATGAGGAAAAGTGTAAATTGTAAATTGTTGGACCAAGAATTCTCAATCTTTTAAACAATTGTCAAATCAATTGATCAAAAATAGGAAAACAAACACGTAGCATGGTCCAAGTTATTCAAAAGCTTCGAATTCAGCAACTTTAAACAATGGTGGGGTCCAACAAGTACAACAAGAGTATGGTCGAATTTAGTGTCGTGCACCATTATCACCTTAGACATTGTTCATTTGTTGTTGTTTGCATTGAATTGTAGAATCTGATGAAACACCAATTTTTAATTCTGCTTTTCTCTCTTTATTCATCTCACTTGTTAGTAAAAAAAGTAGTTGCTTTTACAATGCACTTTAAAGTTATGAGAACTGCAAAACAGTTCTGAAAAAAGCCTTGTGTGTAATTACTGAACAAGAGTTAAACCAATAGATGAAAAAATTAGTATATTTGATGGAAATCATCCATCAATGTGTATTACAATTTTCATGATTCCAATTATTGTAAAACATTTTTCTAAAGCTGTTTCTCACTTTTTTATTATATTATAGAAAAAGTGAAAGAAAAGTAACTTTTATGAAACTGCTACTTAAGTCACAGCTTTTTGACAAAAATGGGTTTAACACAATTTTTTTAAACAGTGTAACATGAAAAATAAAATTGTTATGATGCAAAAAATATCAGTGTAAGAAAAACTAATATATTTATTATGAAAAAAATATTTATTTAAAAAATTAGTACTCTTATTGTGGAAAAAAGTTTAAAGTATTTATTTGAAAATAAACTTTTAACATATTATATTAAAAGCTTAAAGAAATAAAATTTTAAAAATTATAACAACCATAAATTATATTTTTATAAGCTATCTATAAACTTTTAGAAATGCTTATGAAATTCTTTCATTCCGATCATTCATTCAGCATTATCCCCACTCAAGGACTCTCAGTGTTGATCACTAGCAAACAAATCTCATAACCTGTGATTTTATTTGGATGAATTTCAAATTTTTATTTTAGATTTCTCCTTTTATATGGACATTGCCATATATATATATATATATATATATATATATATATATATATATATTTTAATGGTTGTACAATACTATATAACTTATTAAGATAAAGTAATTGTTATGTGTTAAGTAACAATTAAATTATTTTGATTTTAGCATGCCATATATCTGCGACTGTTTATGTATGTTTAATCTTAGGATTGAGGGGAGAGATGGGCTGTTTGGGTTGTGGTGTTGGTAGTATTAATGGTGTGTTTGGATTTTTGGTTAAAATTGGATTTCTTGTGTTGATGCATATATCATTCATTTAAAAACTTTCTCTTTGCAACCTTAAATATTAAGATCTATTTAGTTGATAAGATAATAGTAATAACATAAATTGTTATATTTTATTCTAATTTATAGTTTAGTGAATGAATAAGATAGGGTAAAAATATTATTTTTATTTCAATCCTTGTTGAAAGTATTTCTTTAAAAGTCTTTAAAAGAGGATCAAGATATCAATTTAAGTTGTGAATAATAAATTATTTTTATTATATTAATTTTTATCATCATTTTTTAATAAATTATTTCATTAATTAGACTTTGTATTTAAGAGTTATTATATTTTACTTAAAATAATTATATTTTTATAACTTTAAAAAATGTTTTATTTTTTAATAGAGCAAGAATTTTAATTTAAGAAAATTTAATTTTATTTGTATATTAGTTGTACAATCTGTACAAAAAAAATAAATTATACTGATACCATTATTTTTTATAAAAATAATTTTATCATTTACATTAGTTGTTAAATATTTTTTCAAAAAATTAAAATGTGATTTTGTTAAAAATAAACATGTCACTTTTTTTTTATCATATTGTAAAATTTATTACAAATTATTTTTATTATATTACATATCACTTTTTTTTTTGTATGTTAGTTAGTTGTACTTAATGGTTGAGTTTTACTTTAGGTCTTGGAAACTTTTACTTCTAAGTATATTGGTATAACATAACGTATTAAAATGAATAAAATATATTTCCAAGTATGAAGAATTTTTCTGTTAAAAATATAATTTGTATCAATTGTCAAATGTTATACAATGTATCATCAATTGTAAGATAATATTATTTTATATGATTCAATATCATCATGCGGTATTAAAATATTATTAGACTGAGGATGTATTTAAGTAAATAATTTATTTAAAAAATTATTCAATAAAATCTTATTATATGAAAATTTATGACATAAATTTAATTATAAAATTTATTAAAAAAGGTTAAAAAAATGTATTTGATATATCATCTAAAATAAATTATTGAAATAAGTTAAAAGAATTTATAAAAATTTTAAACTATCAATAAATTCTTATAAATGCCTCTTAAATACTTTAAAATCTCATAGTATTTAGCCTTATCTTTAGCTGTAATTGATTAGTCGCTGTAATTAACTTATAATTTATTTAATGAAAAGAAAAAAAAACGATAGTATGTGGAATTATCTTGCTAGCTTAATTATACCACTTTTTCATACCCTACAAGTAGTTTTTAACATCATTATTGTTATTATTATAATTATTTTAAAAAAAATATTTTCTCTCCTCTTAATTCAAGAATCACTCACAACATCCATTCAATACTTTTCTTAACATATAAAATGTTTTATAAAGTAAAATTAGCATTTTTTGAATTTAACTTTCTTTTAAATTTTAATTTGATCCTCTAATTGTTTTTCTTTTGATTTTAGCCCTAACTTTTAAATGTAAAACTAAATATTTTTAAAAGTTAGAGGACCAAAATTAAAAAATAAAGTTAAAGGACTAAATTCTATTTTTCTTATTTAGATTATGTCACCCTTTCTATTATTTATTTTATTTTTTAATAAATATTTTATCATTAGACAAAAAAATTATATAAAAAAATAAACTACAACTACTTAAAGATATATATTAATTTATAAAACAAAAATAAAATTTGCATAAAAGTATATAAAATTATTTTATATTTATCAACCAGTTTAATAATTAATTTCACTAAAAAATTTATAATTCGGTAATTTAGTTAACTTTACATCTTTCAGCAATAAATCAAATTGGATTTTTAACTTTAAATTAATATTTAAAATTTTTAGCTGTCTTATCAAGTATCTTTAAGCAACCTACTCTTGTCAAAGAGGCAAAAGTATTGGCATTTTTACGCACTAATTATCATTCCCCCAAAAAAATTTGTGGCCATCGTCTAATATTGGTATTTCCATCATTTACGTGATGCCTATAAATACCCTTCACATTTGCAAAGAGCAATACAAGGTGTTCATTCTATCTTTGACACCCTTTAAACTTCTGTTCTCTTTTGGAGCATCGAGATGAAAAAAATGGCTCCCTTCCTTTTGCTTTCCCTAGTGTTTTCTTGTCAATTCATTGCTGGTTTCAATACTGAGCTTCCACCTCCATCCTATGGAAACCTAATAACCATTCTCAGCATAGATGGAGGTGGTATTAGAGGGATTATTCCAGCTGTAGTTCTTGAGCACTTGGAAAACGCTCTTAAGGTCAATGACCTAAATTTAATCATTGCACAAGCAAAGATACAGATATAATTAAAGCGTTTATGAGTGCATTAATATTTGTTGTTCATGATATATGTGCTAATCCTCTCTTCCTCTCTTTTGTGGTGCAAACGGAATTTTAAGCTTGAAGATTTTACAAAAAACTTTGCACAAACTCTGTGATAGGTTTTGGGTACCTCCTGTACTCACTTTTACTCTATTTTGCCTAGAAAAGAGGTTTGACGATTTTATTATTGAGTAAATATTTAATTTAATCTTACAAAATGTGAGTATCGATTATCTTAGTTTTTGACTTTACAAAAATCTCACTTTAACATCTGATTTTATTAAATAACATTCATTTTAATTATTTCTAAATAAAATAACAAAAAAATAAAAAATGAATTAAAATGAGTGATTAGTACTTATTATTAATTTGAAAGAATAAGTTTCTTTAAGGATTAACTAATGTGAAAAATCATTTGGCACTGTTGGTAAATGACCTTTGCTGTATAATGATTAATTCAAATCTTAATTCTTCAAACAATATTCGAAACACTATAGTTACAGTGAAAACTTTTGCTGGCTAACGATATTCACGATTTTTAATATTTTAATCGAATTGCAGGCAAAGGACGAGAGTGCATCACTAGCAAATTATTTTGATGTGATTGCAGGAACTAGCACAGGAGGCATCATGACTGCTATGCTCACTGCTCCTCACCCACATGATCGCAATCGTCCTCTGTTTACTCCCAGGGAAATCATAGATTTTTATATAAATTCTGGTCCCTCTATATTCAATGAAACTAGGTATTTATACTATTGACGTCAATAAAATTAATAAACAATCACACACGCGTATGCAACATATCAAATAATAATATTTTTTATTGTTAAAAATACAAAAAAATTAATCATTAAATCTTATTATTAACCGTCATAATTAAAATATAAGTTTATGCAATGATTTTTTAGAAGATTACATAGTTTTTTATTTATGAGTATGGTTAGGGCGAAGTTTAATTGAAGCCCTTTGACTTGGCATGCATGCAAGTTAGATATATTTTGCTTCACCTTTTTGAAGCGTTTTGAGTTATTATGATCAAACAATAACGTTAACATGCAGCGGTTGGAATAATTCATACCCGGGTCCCAAGTATGACGGCAAGTTCTTACATAATAAAGCACGTGAGTTGTTGCAAAATACACGACTGGAGAACACGTTAACGAATGCTGTAATCCCAACCTTCGACCTTAAGACACTTCATCCAGTTATATTCTCAAACTTTAAGGTTAGTATAACATATATTTAGAATTATATTAACATATGAATTTTTATTAATAATTATACTTATTACAATTGTTTGTGAAACTTTGATCATGTAGCTGAAGACAGCTCCCAGCCTTAATGCGAAACTTTCAGATATAATCATTGGGACTTCAGCTGCACCAACTTATCTACCACCCTATCACTTTGAGAATGATGACACTCAATTCAATTTGATTGATGGTGGTGTAGCAGCATGTAATCCGGTAATAAACTAATTAATTATGAGACAGCTATAAGTACTGTAAAAGAATCATTATTCTGTAGGAAATTAATTAATAGTGGCTGTAATATATGAAAGGGATAAACAAAAAACTAATAAAAAATTATAGATAATGTGATATCATAAAAAGAAAGAGAAAAATAAAGTAATCTTTTTCGAAAGTATGAATATAGTTATTGATTATATCTTATTATAATATGTTTTTATAAGCCAAACATACTAATAGAGCACAATATATATATATATATATATATATATATATATATATATATATATTTCAATTCTCATACAATTAAATAGTTCATGATTTGTAAGTTTTGTTAAAGGCCTTAAGATTTTTTATTTATTTATTTATATAACTACGAGTTCGAAGACTATGATGTATTTTAATGTAATCATAATAATATCTTGCAATAAAAGTAAAAAACATTAAGTTATTTGATTGGTGCATGTATACGGAAACACAGTCCATGAAATTGCACATATGAAAATTAATCTTGATTTCAGGCTATGGCTGCTGTGAGTGAAGTGATACAGCAACAGAAGGAGTGGAATCCTGACTTTACTCGAATGAAGTCAAACGAGCATACCAAAATCCTGTTGTTGTCAATAGGATGTGGAGCTTCAAAAGCTGAGGGTTATGATGCTGAAGTTGCAGATCACTTTTCAGCAGCTACTTGGGCAGCAACAGGCCTTCTATCTGGTGTTTATGATTATGCTTCTAAGGATATGACTGAGTTTTACCTTGCCACAGTGTTCCCAGGCCTTCAATCTTCTGACACCTACCTTCGAATTCAGGTATAATGCTTCCATAACTCGGCTGGTTTAAGTGTAAGAAGCACTAATATGGAAATTAGATTTTTTTTTCGTAAAAAAAGATTCCACTTAAAAACAAATTAAGAGTACATGACTTTGAGATTTAGGTTAACTTGTTATTTTGAATTCAAGATCTTAAGAATGTAACTATGTTAAACATTTTGAACAAAATTATTTCTAGTAAAAAATATAGATAAAATAAAATTAAGAGTACATATAAGTATTAAGAGTTTGTTAATTTTAAAATTAGGTAAAATTAATTTCAATAAAGTATTTTTAAGTTATCAAGCATAATTATGATGTGTATTCAAATTATTTTGAATCTCAATACATGCAGTTAGATACGCGTATATTATAAATTAATTTTAAATACTTGTATACAAATTTTTGTCATCAAACAATGTTATCTCTGCAATTGATATTAATGGCCCTGAAAATAATTGAATCATGAAGTTTACATTTTGGCATGAGTATGATGAGAAGATTTGGTTTTAAATGTAAATTAACAAACAGGGAAGTGTATAGTATAAGTTGTATTTTGCACCTGAAACTATGATTAAACTAAAATTTATCTACAAATAAATTTTCCGAAAAAATTATAATTATATATGTTGAAGCACGATTAATTGGATCCTTGCTTTCCTGTTGAAAAAACTGTGATTGGCAACTTACAGTCCAAACACACCTTACGTAGTTGCTTGTATACTACGAAAAACAGTGGTTTAGATTATTTTATTTGATACTAAAAATAATAATTTAAATAAGAGAATTTTAACAATAAGTATTTTTTTTTCTCTAAAGCAAGCAATTTTCCCTAAACCGTTTTTTCTCTTTTTACTGTTATCTAAACGAACTGCATGAAAATTCTTGAATTGTTGATTCCTGTGTTGTAATATTGCTTTCAAAATTTAAAGGGTTTAAGTTGAAATCACGTACGTACTTTCCCGTACATTGCATCATATTACTTCCTCAGTTCCTCATCATAGAATAGCCTTTTATAATAAAAAGTCATTATTATAATTAAAAACTATAACTTTGATTGACCAATGACCTATAAATATTTTTAAATTTTGGGGCTTTATATACAGGAAATAACTTTTCTCGCAATAAAGAAAATCAATCATGTATCTTAATTCAACGCGTGCTTGAATCCATATCTATATTACTTAAATACGTGTTTTTTTTTTCTGTTACAACAAAGAGTAGTTTCGACATTTAGAATACGCGTTAACAGCTATCAACTTCGAATCAAAACATGCAATCGATGTTTTTTATACTAATTTAAGGTTTTTAATTGATGTTTATTTTATTTCTTTGCAATCTTAACATTCGGGTATGCTAATGTATGATGAATCTGAATATGCAGGATTATAACTTGGACCCATCCATGGATTCCCTTGATAATGCCACTGAAACAAACTTGGAAAATCTTGTTAAGGTTGGACAGAACCTGCTGAAGCAACCGGTTTTGAGCATGAATGTGGTTACTTTTGTCCCAGAGAAAGAAAGAAATCAGGGTACAAATGCTGAGGCTCTTGAAAGGTATGTACAACCTTCAGAGTGTGTTCCGAAAATCGTACTTGAATTTGAATAATTTTGATATTGTTAAATTAATTTTAGTTACAAGTTAATTTAAAGTACAGTAATCCAAACATGTAATTATCTATATATTATCAGTGTGTTTAAATATTATATTTGAAGATAATGTTGCAGAACAAAAGAAGATATAAGGTTCTTTTAAGGACTTAAATGCAAGGACAAATTAACGTACTTTAAAACAATGTTGCATTTACTTTATTGCTGATAATAAAAGTGTACTATTATAATACGATCTATAAAGAGATAATAATAAATTACTACCAATTAGTATATACATCATCATAATAATATTTCATAAATTTATGAAGTCCGATGGAGTAAAATCACATCTTCAAATAATTATATTATTTATCAAGCTTTTGTTATTCATTGTGAAATTCTTACCTGTCCATGTGCTATATATTAAATTTTAGCACGTATATAGGTAGCTTTCAGTTCAATGACAAGAAATATTAATTAATTTAGTGAGGGTTGTTCCTTTATGTGATGAAGGGTTGCTGAGATTCTGTACAAAGAGAAGGAGCTGCGTTTGAAAAAAAAGTCGATGGAAAAAAGGGGTCGACCACTTATGGAAACTGTCACAATCCCTTTTGGCCGAACTCGAACAAGTTAGGGATCATGTGAAAAAACTGTATCGCAATAAATGCCATGGTGCGTAGGCTTGCGCTATATGTATAAGTTGTGAGTTCTATGCTTAATGAAAAATAAACATATATATATATATATATATATATATATATATATATATATTTCTCTCCTTTAGTTGAATTGTTGAGCTTTTGTGTTTTATGTTTTAATTTTCTTTTGGGGGTAAATGAACACCTTCCAATAGTGCACAAGTTGGAAAGAAATAAAAACACCATGAAAACAACGATGTAATAAGGTTGAATTTTAGGTACATACCTACGTGGAACTTACATCGTGCATATTATACAGAATAACAAGCAAAACAGCGATATTACAGTCCAATAAATAAAACCCCACAAAATACACAAAATAATTATATACACACAAAAATATATTAGAAAAACCAAACAAAGTGAGCATGTTGTTAATTGCCAAACCTAAAAGTGTTGTTCCCTTTTCTTCCTTCATACTATCTCTTTTTGTTTTTTGCTTTATCTTGGCCCCCAACTAACTTTGTCGGCACTACAATTATGCTCTAGTTCAGAGCAATAAAGAAGGCCATTAAATATGATAGAGAACAGTCTCAATCGCATTAGGTTAATAGAGTCAATCAAGGGACAACAAGGTAGAAGCAAAACTAAAGATAGGAATTGTTTAAGATGAAAAAAAAAATTGTAACTATGCTTGTTTCCCTTTTTTAAAAACAGTTTTCTGCTTTGAAAAAGAAAAATAAATATGCTCTTAATTTTAAAGTTTTGTAATTTAAATATTGTCTATAAACTTTAGAATCTATAACTATTTCTATGTCTAGGGAGACAAAATATTTTATTTCTAAATTCTGTCGATAAAATGAGTTTTTCTATTAGTGAATGTAGTTCACAACGGAAGAGTGAAAAAAGATGACAGGGCTAAATTAAGAATAGATGAGTTGGTGGAGAAGAGGAGATAATGGCCACTAAAGGAGAGGGAGGTGACAGTGAAAATGAAAGACAGAGAAAAATGAAAGGAAAGGGAAAAAAAACTTTCCTTAAATAGAAAGAGAACTAGAAAATAATTGTTCAATTTCAAAGAAAATAAAAATATTTAAGAACTATAACTGTAAAACGTTGAACAAAGTTAATTAACCAAATGAATTATGACTATTGATTCATATATTAGTATATTAATTACAAATGAATTATGACTATTGATTCATAAATTAGTATATTAATTACATAATTTGTCCACGTTTATTGTGAGAGATTTAGTGAAATAATATTACATTTAACTTCTAGATATGTCTCAACATGTATTTATAAAATTATTTTCGTGTGAAAAAAGTGTTATTTGTGATAAGAAATTTTGTTAACTATCATAGAAAAGTGAATAATTGATGCTTTTACATTACAATGCTCCTTATAAATATGGGATCATTGATGGATGGATCAAGATCCTTTATCTTGGTTCCTGTATTTTGAAATGAAATTTAACACACATCCTTAATAACATCCACGCCATGGGCACATGTTGGGTTTTTGAGGAAAAGAGATATATGCAATCATGCAGGCTTCAATTTTCTACAGTGAGTTTGAGTTTAGAAACAAAGTATTTGATCAAAGTGATTTCTCTCCAAATGTGAGGTGGGTGAATGAAGTTTGCAAAACTCTTAAACGAGTTTGATAGGATTGATATGATTGTTGTGAAATAACAAAATAATTTTGTAGACTTGTTAGTTTTGTATGGATACTATTAAGGAATATTGATTCACGGTATATGATAAGGGAATTGCTCCGTTATAAGGTAGAGCTACTAAACCAAACCAAAAAAGAGTAGGATGACCATCAATAAGCAAAGTTTTGGAAGCTAAAATAGTCAAGGGAGACCTCAAAGAATGATGCTCAACAGAATTTGAAGAAAATTGATCAATGAGTGTGGCAAGAGGACGTTTAAGTAAGGAGCAATGAAAGGCATTATGAATACGTGAAGAAGCTGATAATTCTAATTTATAAGCCACAATTTATGATATTTGGCGAAGAGAAATTTGATGATATGTTTTAACCTTAACATAAAACCCATGAACCAATTGGAGAACTAATTGGAAAATCTAATTCATGATGATATTTATTAACATTAAGTTTCATCCTTACTTGTGCCTTGGATAAATTCTCACAAAAAAGAGCCAACACCTCGTTAGGGGTCAATAAAGTAGAATCACAAGCATCCACAACAAAGAAGTCTATAAAATAATTAGTAATAATAAGAGAAAGGCTTACCAAAGATCACCTAAAAGGGAGTTAAACTAGAACTAGTATGAAAGCATGTATTATAATGAAATTCAACCAAGGTAAAAAAGTGAAACTAGAGAAAAAGTTTCGAGTGTGCAAAAGTTTATAAGTATTATTCAATGGTCCTATTTATCGCTTAAGTTTTTTCATCTGTTTGAGGATGATAAGAGGAACTCATAAGCAACAAAAAAAAAACCACTAAATTTGAATAAATCAAACAAAAAATGGGATTGTAGCCCAAAACAATACTTTTAGACAACCTATGATGCCTGCAAACTAAAGACATAAATAATTTAGCAACATTATATGTAGTGAAATGAGTCAGAAAGGTCTCCAAATATGGACACCTTGAGAAAAGTGATTGACAATAGCCAAAATAACAATATAGATATGAATAACAAGTTTTGCTACTCCTATAAAAGAAATCTTAAACTTTCTAAGTTGTATTTTGTGATTCCATTTTACCAAAAGGAAAAATAAACAATTTTATGTTAAAAAAAATAAGAACCAATCTAAACAAACAAGGAAAACTCAGGTTTAACTTCAAGAAATGGAAAATGAACACTAGATAAATCCATAAATCAATGCTTACTTCGTACAAGAGAAGGAAAAAAAACTCAAATTTAGCCTTTTATAAAACCCCAAATTTGAAAATGTGATAATTATAAATAGAGAAATGAGAAATTCGAAAAGGGAGAGTAACAAAAATTTTAAGAGCAACAACAAAATTTTAAGATGAGAATATTTTGTTCAAGAGAAAAAAGAAAGTTTCAAAATAGAGAACAAGGAAAGAGAGAAAAACTAAAAAATTTCTAAAGTGAGCAAGAGAAAGTACAATAGGACGATAGAAAAATGAAAAAGGAGAAGAAGAAGAAGAAATTAAAAATCAAAAGGGAAAAAGAAAAACACATCAAGTTAAATCAACTTTATCAATTTTATATTTTTCAATAATTTTTTTGTCTGATTTTTTCTTTTTTAGCCTAATTTTTTTTCTTGTTTCAGTCCAATCTTTTATTTTTGTTTTTTTACCTAATATTTTTTGTCTTAAAAAAAAGAAAGTTTTCTGTTTTTTTATTTATGTTATTTTTATCTTATGTTTTATTTTATTTATGTTAGTCTATCATAAATAAAATATTTTACTCTTTAATTTTATTTTTAAAAATTAGTTTTCTTAATTTTATTTATTAATTTTTTAAATAATAATGATTAAAATAATAATAATAAAAGATGATTAAAATCAATTTAAACATAATATAAATTTTTATTCTTTCAATTATATTATATTTATTTTTATCATATTTTTCATGTTATTTCATTATTTGCATCCTTTCTTCCATCTAGAAAATTAAATTTTATTTGTTTCCCTGAACAATCCTAATATAATAATTAGAAAAATGTAATAACAACTCCTGTATAATCAACTTGCATAACAACTTCTATGCAATAACTTGCCTCCTTTCAGAAACTACAAGTCACCATAGATAATATCCAATAATATCATCTAATAAATTATATTAAATATTCAATGTAGATGAAATTAATAATAAATATAATCATCTCAAAATTTAGGTTTAATAATCTTTTTCTTAAGTTACTCTTTCTAAAACTCCTCAGTAGCGTCACATCTTTAACTTGTGTTGAGTCTTCAACGCATAATTAATTAGAATTCACACATCGTATGTATACCTCTTTGTCATTCTATTTGAGTGGATGTTCTCAAATTGTTTTCATTGCATAATTGAATTCTTTCCTTTAAAAAAAATGTAGAAGAAACTCATAACAAGCAACCCATAAATGAAACGTTAAAAAGTTTTGGCTGCATATATTTCTTATCTATAAGTCAAAAACAACCTTTAGTTAGAAAGATGAAATGTTTCATGACAACAAATTCTCATTCTAGGCTTAACTAATTAGGCATATCATTGTGATCCCATGTTGTATATCATATCAAATTTCATTGTAAATTGGTACTCTTTTTGAAGAATTTATTATCGGTAAGGAATCAGTACTGCTATCTTATATAGTTTAGAAGATTAATTTAATTTATTCATACATAGTTATCTTTATAAATATAATTATATATAATTATAATTTTTTAAAATATTAATTTTAACCATCATATGTTTTATTTTTAAAATTTTATTCTTATTATTATTTATTGGTGTGATTTAAATTTAAATTTAAATTTGTCAAATTACATATTATCTTAAGATGATTAATAATGTGACACACTTAATCATATATATACTACGCTATTACTAAATGATGATAAAAAATTATTTTTAAAAAGTTCAAATTAATAAAATTTAATTTTTTAAAGAATTAAAATTAATAAATATAATTATATTTATAAAAATTAAATTAAATAATGATACTAACAATAGTATTTTTTTTAATAAATCAAATTTATAAAATATTAATATAATTTTATAATGAATATCATGTTCTTTTTTAGATACAAATTATATTATTTTTTATTGTGTCTAATGATATTAATTATTTTATTATATTTTAATCGTATTTTGAACATAAATTTTAAATTATATCTTCAAATTGGTATTTTTTTTTTCATCTTTATATAATACATTATTAATAAAAATTAAATTAATTATAATAATATTACAATGAAATTATAATTTATATACGTAGTATTATGTTAAAAAGATATAAATGTGGTACATGGTGTAGCATGTGTTGCTTAACTCCAGTACAAAAGTACTTCACTTTTTTTACGTTACGATACTTTTATAAGACTTTAGTATATGATGTTTAAATGGTTTAATGTCAATATATGTTTATTTGAAAATTTATATAAAAT